TTATAAATATGCTATTAATAGTGATTTTAAGCAATTACATAAATTTGTCGAAGACATGGTTGATAGCTTTGAACATTTTGGGATTCTCATTATGTTTGTCTGGTCGACTCACCTACGTTGCTCTTTAACTTTGCTGAATGCGCTCTTTTGTTTAATTTAGTTGTCTTTCGTTTGTCCTTTATTTGGTTCTCCTTTGTTTGTCCTTTGGTTTTTTCCTTGGAACCTTGTGGTGCGCTGGTCTCAACTCACTGATGAGCCTCGGGGCATCAACATGATTCGTCTGAGCTGGAGGCGAAACGAGTCATGTATAATGGATTCTCTAATCATCTCTTTAACCTTAATACTCTAATTTTCTCTATCCTTTTGTACTAATATAATTCAATACTAATATAATAGTTAATATGAAATATTAGAACTTTCCTTTTTTTGAGGTGTTGCGCGATCTGGTGACGGAGAAGTTGCCCCGTTTTGCTGCACACCTACGACAATTTGAAGTGGACCTGTCGTTATTTGCGCTGAGTTGGTTCCTCACTTGTTTTGTGGATGTGATGCCGCATCAGATCTACCTACCAATTTTCGACGTTTTTCTCTACGAGGGAAATAAGGTGATTTTTGTTTACTTTAATGCAACTGATTTTACGGGTTTTGCGGGGGCAATACTTTATTATCTTCCTTTAATTACTCATTATTAACTTACCTCCGCTAAAGCAAAACCAATTGGAATTCTCCTCTCAAACGTATACTAGGTATGAAAAGTAGTTTCGTTCCGCATTAATGGAATTAGGAAAATACTCTTTTTCACTCCGTAAATATCTTGTTCTATAACCCTTGCCTATTTTCTTCCAGTTTTATTTTGCCAGTATTTTCCTTTGATTCCGGGTCCATAAAATGTCTGGTCTCTACTGGCAAGGAACTGATCCGAATAATTTTTGATCTATTCACTTGAAGTTTGGGGCAGATTTGAAAATTCGCTGAATATGTGACACAGTAGGCCCTCGGACGCGATGTTTGCATTAGAGCGCGAGAGTGAAGCCCGTGAAGCTGCTGGTGCAACAAGGAATCCTAACCGCAATATTATTATCTTCATTGATATGGACCAAAAAACAGCGAATCAACAATCAAAATCCGAGACAATATAATAAAACAGTGTACAACGAAGTGACCGATAATGACGGCACCAAAACTTCTTCTTCTTCAACCTCTGTGCCATTTGTCGGCGAGATCCTCTTTCTTTGATATGTTGACGCCACTTTTCTCGATTGAGCGCTTAATCGAGGTTGATGTTAACCGTTTTCAAGTCTCCATACAACGTATCGAGCCATCGCTGCTTCGAGCGTTCTCTAGGACGCTCTCCGGACACGCCAAGGTTTCTTGCGGACTTTGCCATCATTCGCGCGTAGAACATGACCATAAGATCAGAGACTGTCTTCGCCCATTCTATCGACAATCGACGCTGCACCAAATCGCTTCCTGTTGACGTTATTACTAATGCGTTCTAATCGTGTTACACCTGCCGTTCAGCGCAGCACCCTCTATCGCACCAAGATGGGCGTCAACTTCTTTGATCGCAAGCCAGCACAATCAGCGCAGTAAATCGCGACCGACAGGATGGAGAGACACGAGACACGAGACATTGGATGTGGGACGTTGAGGCATTTCCTCATCGCTAAGACGCCAGTCATCGCGCGCCACTTCAAACACGCCTCATTCACGTGGAAATTTATTATTAAAACCAGGCTGCCGTCAGTCGCGATTGCCAATCCGAGATACTTGAATGTTGTTGACCGTAGGAGGTAAGTATCATTGACCTTGACAGAGCCTGGCTCGCTCGGATCGGTGGTCAAGTACTCTTTCTTTTTGACTTTAACCTGAGCACGAACATAGCCAGGTACTTCGCAGGCGAGCATCATGTCGTTGGCATAAAGAAGCGTCGATGGAACCGGCTCATGGAGATCTCTTGTAATGGCATCCATGACAGCATCAAATAGTCTCGGGGATAACGCAGAGCCTTATCGACGGAGATAGGAAAATGCGTCAATGTCCCCGCTGCCGTTTGTACTTGGCTCTTCGGACCAGAGTTGAGGATGCGTACCCACTCGACAGCTCTTCGGGACGCCAAGCTGCCGTAAAGCATACCATATAACGTCAGCCGGAACGCAATCGGAATCCTTCTTCGAGTACAGAAAGGCAAGATATGACGGACTCTTTTTTTTTCGATGCTTTTCTAGTGGCATCGACCACATCGGTTTGTGGTCAGCTCGACAATGTCACCGATACGACTGTTTACAATATGCTAAATATTTTCATGCTGTGCGAAACAAGGCGCCAAAACTACCCTTCTTCTTACAAATAGGAATTGTCGTGCTCTGTTGCCAGCTCTCAGGCACCTTTGTGACGACCTGGTTAAGGACACCCTAGACCACACTGCAAGATTCCAGCTACGGACTCACGTGCGAGTTTCATCGTGATCCGAGCGGCAACTTCGGTTATCACACATTCACCGGACCTTAAACCTGTCTTATGAAGTTTTACCGTTTGAAGATAATGTATAGACCAGCATTTCTGTGGAATACATCTCCGCGAACAAAGACACCTTTGCTATGCTGTCAAAATTGACCATTCCTCGAAATTCTATCGTGCAGAACAGAGCTTTTCTCTGAGCGACGACTTGAAAACTTGTTGAGATCAATTAACCTTTTTTAATTTGATGACCGCTTGCTTTTTGATGTCGGTGAACCATTTCTCAGCCGATCCGATGGAGCGCTGAAAAATGAATCATTTTCACCACTGTTAGTGAGCAAATTAAAAAAATATGTTAAAGTCAACGCGGCACGGCACCAGTTTCTTGCCATAGAAACATGACGAACCCATTTGTCGTGCATCGAAGCTTTGCATTTAAAATGAACGAACTAGGCAGGTTCAACATCTCAGCGATCGCACGAGTTGTCGGTTTGCATCAGTTAAAGCTTTTTTGTCAATATCAGCTTGAACTGCTGTTCCGGAGTGATGCATCATTAAAATCAAAAAATGAAGAAAATAGGTTTTGCGAACTAGTTACGACCCAGACGTTCTGTCAACGCTTCTCCATCTGCTAACTTTTTTTTGAACATCGTAAGTGAGATTTTTACATTTGCAAAGGCACTCAACAAAAACCACGAAGTATGAACATACGAATCCCTGGTATCACAATGATCATGCAAGTGTGAGACTGGCTGTGAAAAATAACAGAACTTTTTTAGCTACCGATTATTTTCCAAAGATCTCGTTTCATCATTCACTCTATGTTTAAGAACCCTAGTTATCTTAATTTCACTCTTGAAAACCTTTTAGCTCCGTTTTCACCACATTTCATTTTTTTAGACGTTATTTCGATTCGCATTGGCCATATTGAAGATGTGTGAGTCGTCGGTGCTGCAAAGTAAGACTGTCAGCATGGTACACGCTTGTTTAAGCAGGCCGCGTCAATTCGTTTCTGATTACAAGTTGCTAGCACAGGTATGTGGTCTAGCTTTGTTGCAGAAGAAAGTAAAATTGATGTCGTGCATCATTGTTGTCTATTCTTGTAGGTAGCTTTCAACGACATGAATCCTTTCCCTCAAAAACAAATTGAGACGAAAAGGTCGCTATACTTAGCGCAGTTGCAGGTGACAAAGTTTTCATTTCTCCTCCTTTCGTTGTTTTTGCTCTTTGACATTGTAGTCTGTGATAATTTAGGCAAGACATTCATAACGTAACAAGCTTTCGGCGTTCCTGAAATGTTCGGTGAACTCGGCCGACGCATGCGACTACGACTTCTCGTCGCATTCTCGCCAGTACCTCTTTTGTCTAAATCTATTTGTTTTTATTTTTGACGAAAGAAATTCACTGTTATGCTATGTGATGAGAGAGCTACTCATATTTTCACTTCTTAATTTACATGCATCTTATCTGGAGCAAAAATCGATGTCGATAGTTTGCATACCTTCTTTGTACATGATCTATCCCTGGTGAATGCGGTGCTTATTAATGTTGCTAGTTTAGAGATGTGGATATGCCCATTACTGGTTTGAAGTGTTAGGCCACGTTGGAGGTTTCTTAAGACTCTACCAAAATTTCTGTACGGTTTCTATTTCACCAACTGAAGAGTCAAGTGATCCCAGAATAACACCGACCAAATAGTGGATCCGAGCACTCCATCATTAATTATGATTCAGCGATTACTGTATAGCTTATTGTATTTTCTATCATTGTGATACTGCAGTGCCCCCATTGTCGCAAAGGATTTTCATATCAGAATAAATTGTAATTAATTCTCGAACAACGAATAACAAGATCTACATGAACTGTTGTCGAGCATCCGTCGACCTACATGAACTGTTGCAGGGCAATTTCTTACAGTTAGGCGGGTTGGGCATAAAATACAACTATAAAGTTATCGATAATGGAGAAATTCCGCTGTTTTCATTTATTTTCCTATGTACAAATAGCTTAACTTTGATCATATACTTTTAAAGCTTTATCCTTCATTTGCTTGTATTACTTCAGCATTGGCGTTTCCAGTTTTATGCAGCTTCGTTCGGAATATACAGGATGATTCCCACTGTATATAATCTTTTAGTATGTCTAGGTGTCTGTATGGTGTTTGATCGGAAATTCAAAACTTCTGTTTCGGGAACCTAGAGCGTTCAAATTCGGTAGATATAGGCGAAGATGGTGACACTGATGGACGTAGAAAGACGTAGAAAGGATGTAGACGACGGAGCGTGCGCAAAATGAGCGTAATCTGAGTAAATATGCGCAGTCGAGTTGAAAAAAGGGAAAAAATCAATCAGCCTACACACATGAGCTGAAGAAAATTCAGTTCATGACAGCGAGGCGCTCACGAATAGTGTTGGGTATGTGCGCTTGGCCGGAAATTCATATCTTGTGTTCCCCTGTACGAGATCGTCCATATTGGGAAGAGATGTGAGCGAAAGGCCAACTTCACACCAAAAGGAGGAAAGCCCAAGGTTAGCTGGGCGATACGACTGATATGGAAGTGAAGCCGTGTTATGTTCAACTGTTAGAGAGCTTAGCGTCCCTAGACTTCATTGACATGTTCTTATTTCATTTATAGGGTTACCAGAAAAGTTCTGCGACTAAAATTCAAACCATTAAAAATTTGCACAGACAATGTGAACTCGGTAGCAAGGATGATAAACTTCTAGGGCATTTCCCTGGCAATCGAAACAAGGGTAAAAAAGGGCACGCACATAGTCTTCGCTGCATTACCGCTGACGATTGGGCAATACCCGATTTGCACCGTTGCATTCCAAGAGAAAAAAGCGGGTGTAGCGGCTTGAATCATCAGCAACCTTTTGTATGCTAGTACTGCTCACTATCAACGGTCAACAATCGATTGGATCGTTTCAGTTCAAAGGATGCTAGCCTTCGATGAAACGCAAGCATCGCCCCTTAATTTTATGAAGGTTGGAGATCCCTATTCCATCTGAGTTGCCAAGCGCAGACTAGACATTCAGAGCTGTCCAATACCCGTATGAGCTCTAGCATTCGTACAACGCGTCAAGAAAAAGACGTCCAAAACCATATTTTACGTCTTTACAGAAGGACAGCGCCTGTCGAAATTGCGCTTTAGACGCCTATCAAGTTTTCACGCGCCCGCCTCGTTTGAGGTTGTTCTCCAGTCGTACGCCCGAAACGTCGTCCCTTTTCAAACGTCTCATATCATAAGGGGTGTTCGTTATTTTCGTTATTTTAAGTTCGTAATTTGACGTGATGTGAAACCAGCAAGCATGGTTTCTTTCAGTCACAGCTTCTCGAGTTCTAGACAAAAGGCATCAGTGATCCGCTCAAAGGATAAGAGGAGGTGGTTGATCTCTTTGGTGAATATATGTATTTCCAAGATTCGATTGGGAATTTAGATTTTAGGGATGAAATCAAAATTGCTTCCTTTTTGTCGTAGGGGTTTCCTGCTAACCTAATATAATAGTATGGACCTTTCTTCCATCTATCCAGAAAATTCTGCTTTCCTCGTGTATGATAGAGAAAATACTTCGTTCAGTGATTTGAAGCGATAGACATCATTCTTATACATCATTCGATAGACATGATGAATTGAGAATCACAAAATTCCGCTAAATCAACGAAGTTGACAAACTCTGACCGCTCTCGACATGGAAAGATCTATATATACTTTGCAGGTAATAATAAATATGCGAGCAGTCTCAGCTGTGCTTCCATACGGCGAAAGGGCAGAAAAGTGTAAAGGGACTGTCAACTCTACGAGTCGATAAATGGGACCAAGGAGGACCGTTTTGAGGAAGGCTTGTGCGCTAGGGAGAAATCAACTTTTCTTGATGACTCAAAAGTAAGGAGAACCTGACTTTGCGCACAGTATTCTTCTGCTTCGGAAAGGAGAGCCTGTTGCTGTCGACCAATATTCGATCTAAGGAAAGGATCTATCTGTGACGAGGTCAAATATGGCTTCACCTGAACTAATTATTGGAAATCTTTGATATATATCAAAAGGATCAGTTCCGCTGAAAAAATCGCTCGTATTCGAACAAACAGAATTCCTTAGATTTCGTTACATTTAAAGAGTGCCCTCCCAGTTCGTCGAATGGCTGCTTTCATAGTCCGCCGGCCGGCCGGCGTGCCGACGGAGGCAGTGCTAGGGGGGAGGAGGGAGGCAGACAGTGTAAGGCAAACAGTCCACGCCCCTTCGGAGGTTGTTTGTTCTCAACCCCTCGAAGGGGCGTGGACTGTTTGCCTATCCGTCTGCCTCCCTCCTCCCCGCTAGCACTGCCTCCGCCGGCACGCCGGCCGGCCGGCCGGCGGACTATGAAAGCAGCCAATCTTATACCGTTTAATTCTCTTAGCGGCGATTGAACCTGTGCCTCTTACTCAATTTTTAGGAGCTAAACAATTCGATTTTTGCTCTGTTTGAAGTCTGAATCACGTTTCTGTGGCACTCATTTTGTTTCCATAATTTTGCCTTGCATTGCACATATTTATAGGGGTTTTTTCTTCAATTTGTAATCGTTGCAGTCAATTTCGCATATATTGCAATAGGTTTTGTAGTTTGCCCATTATATTCTGCCACAGTTAATTTCGTATTTGTGAGCCCAATTTTGTAAAATGGGCAATCATTTTTGTTGAAGTCGCATTCTTTTCTCGTGAAATTCCCAATGTGCGATCTGTTCAGTTAATTTTATTATAATTTGGTGCTCTATTAGTGTGTCCGGAAAATTTTAAGTTCAGCCGGTTTTCTCAACACCAAATAACTACAGCAACAAATTCACAGCCGAGATCAAGATAATGGCCCTCCTTAACCACAATGTCTCTCTATCAACCGGACAAGGCATTGATGCCATTGCTCCATTAAGAAGAGAAGCACGCTGCAATCCATCAATCTATCTACTTGACTTCTCGACCGTTGGTGAATTTTTTTCTTCTCAGAGCAGGTATGCGGGCTTTTAAATGGGTGGCAGTAATATGGTTGAGGTCAGGTGAATATGTGAGGAGTGAGGTAGTCGGTTTACACAAAGTTTTTCCAACTCATCCATCGACGTCCTCGCGTGGAATGGTCGAGCATTATTCATCGCAATAGAAAATTTTCGAGTAATCGGTGTGAATTGGAGGCTCAAAAGACCATCTCTCTCAGTCGGTAACAGAATACTCCTGCGTTTACCGCTGTACAGCGGTAGAATCTCCTGGTGAAACACCCGGTTGAGCAGGGAAGAATGAGCTTATGTCTTTCTTGGCGCGAGCGCTCGCCTCGCTTTATAGCGGGCTGCGACCTTACGCCTGTTGGTAGGCATTGGCTGCTTTCATAGTCCGCCGGCGTGTGTGCCGGCGTGCCGAGGCAGTGCTAGGGGGGAGGATGGAGGCAAACAGTCGGTCAGCCCCTTCGAAGGGCTGGAAACAAAGAAGAACAAGATTAAAAACCAAACATTCAGGGCTTATGCAAATTGTTTTTGATCTTATCTCTCTTTGTTTACAGCCCTTCGAAGGGGCTGACCGACCGTCTGCCTCCCTCCTCCCCCCTAGCACTGCCTCGGCACGCCGGCACGCCGGCACGCACGCCGACGGATTATGAAAGCAGCCATTGGCTGCTTTCATAGTCCGCCGGCCGGCGTGCGTGCCGGCGGAGGCAGTGCTAGGGGGGAGGAGGGAGGCAGACAGTGCAAGACAAACAGTCCACGCCCCTTCGAAGGTTGTTTGTTTTCAACCCCTCGACGGGGCGTGGACTGTTTGCCTATCTGTCTGCCACCCTCCTCCCCGCTAGCACTGCCTCCGCCGGAAAGCAGCCATTGCGATTTTCTACGTGCATTTTCATATCACATTGACTTCTTATCCTGAGCAATAATGAAATCGGTTGATGTCGTCGTTCGCTTAAAGTCGAGGAGCTCCTGACACACACTGACACGCACCCGAGCTTCAGTTAAACCAAGAAGTGGGCGATATTTGCTGAGCGTCCTGCCTTGAAAGCGACGTTTGCGTAGAATATCGTGAATGATGGATTAGAGAGATGGACGTTCATTTTCGACAGACTTCATCGAAGCAAATCTCTTCACTGAAGAAGCGGTCGTGCCATTTATGGTAGGTGAAAAGAGAGGGTGCACTTCTGCCCATCAGCCACCGTGTCCCTTCCCAAACCTGCGTGTCGAAGCGATTAATTTCGTGATGGAGTCACCGTATTTCATTCCAGAAGGAGAAGGCTCCGGTAGTCGTATCGATGACACATCGTT